CGCCCCGACCGGGACTAGAACCCAGTGTGCCGGCGCCGCAGTCGGAGGATCAGCCTAGTGAGCCGCGGGGCCAGCCTAAAGACTAGGTAATTTAAACATGCAGAGGCTGTGCCTCCCCCAGGAGGGGAGGAACCCAGGCCAGCGCGCAGATGGGGAGGATTTTGCTGGGTCCTGAGGCAGGGGGACGGGGTGAGGAGGGCCGAGAGGAGCTGTGGGAACCGCGGGGCTCGGAACCCTGGCCCTGCAGCTGCCCGCTGGGAGCCTGGGAGGTGGAGATGAAAGTGTGAGGCAGGGCGAGCCCCGTATGTCCCCTGTGACCCCCACTTTCTTCCCAGCGCCCGAAACGAATTGGCGTGAAATCCACATCTGGGCCCCACCTCCGGCCTGGCCGGCCCTCCCCTCCGGGCACTGAGCCCAGTCACTAATGGCAGAGGCACAGGTGGCCTCCGGGGCTCAGAGGCCCCAGCCCACCTCCGGCACCGCCCGGTGCCCTCCCGCAGCACACAGAAGGGGAATTGGCCCAGCAAAGAACGGGGAGCCGGGGGGAGCCCAGACGAAGGGAAGAGGGGGCCGGGAGGCGTGCTGGGGCAGGGGAAGAGGGGGCCGGGCAGAGCCAGGGCAGGTGGGATCTTCAAGGCCAGGCTGAGGGCCTGGTCTTAGTCCCAGGCGCACTGGGGAGCCATGGGAGATGTGTGAGCTGGGGAGGAGTCACCAAGGCCTGGCTCCCCCGGGGACCCTGGGGAGGGTCCTGAAGGATGTGGACCCTGAAGGACCTAGCAGGGCTCGGTCCCGACGGGAAAGGCCGAGGGCTGGGGACCTGGCGCAGGGCTGCCAGGGAGCCACGGCCCCGGCGGGGTCGGCTCTGGGTGGGGGGCAGAGGGAAAGGGGAAGAAGATTGGAGGGGGAGCCGGGGGGGGCAGGAGGAAGAGGATGAGTTCTGGGCCCCCCGGGATTACAGAGACACAGGCAGGCAGTTAAATGTCACCCACACAAGGAAGAGGTGTTTTTTTTTTTTTTTGTCAATATTTATTTATTTATCTGAAAGGCAGAATTGGGGGGAGACAAGGGGAGGTCTTCCATCCAATGGTTCACTCCTCTACGTGCCCCCCAACAGGCAGGCTGAAGCCAGGAGTCTGGCACCCCATGGGGGTCTCCCAGGTACGGGGCAGGGGCCCCAGCACCTGGGCCGTCTTCCGCTGCCTTCCCAGGCGCGCGAGCAGGGAGCTGGATCGGACATGGAGTAACCGGCGCTCCAGAGGGGGGCCGTGGGAGTCCCGAGCGGCAGCTTGACCGCTGCACCACCGCCCTGGCCCCGGGGAGCCCCCGCCAACCTCCCTCCTTAGCAGTGTTTCTGCCTCTGCGAACGCCGCGGCCCCCGTAGTTTCGCTTCATTCATTCAGCATGTTCTGGGGTCACCTGGACATGCCGGCCCGCAGACCTCCGTCATGTGGGGACTTGCCCAGTGTGGGAGCGTGGGCAGCAGAGATCTGGGAGCCACTGTGTTTGGTGTGCCGTGTAATCACGGAGGCACCTGGCCCAGCCTGGGAAGTCAAGGAAGGCTTCCCGGAGGAGGTGGGCACTGCAGAAATTCAAGTAGTCTCCCCAGACACATGGCAGGGCCTGCATCTCTGCAGAGAGTGTCACGCAGTCACAGTGGGTCTCTCTCCCGAGGACTCCTGTGCGGGGTAATGCTGGGGACACAGGGGGCATGCCTGGGCGCCTGTCCTCTCTGGTGACACGTGTTTTCTGGAGGCAGCCCGGGGAGGCTTCCCGGTGGAGGATGAGCCTGCTCCTGCCCTCTCAGCACCCCCAGCTCCTTGTGCCTCCCGCTGTGCTAAAAGCAGCGGCAGTAAGGCCGGCGCCGCGGCTCACTAGGCTAATCCTCCACCTTGCGGCGCCGGCACCCCGGGTTCTAGTCCCGGTTGGGGCGCCGGATTCTGTCCCGGTTGCCCCTCTTCCAGGCCAGCTCTCTGCTGTGGCCAGGGAGTGCAGTGGAGGATGGCCCAAGTGCTTGGGCTCTGCACCCCATGGGAGACCAGGAGAAGCACCTGGCTCCTGCCTTCGGGTCAGCATGGTGCGCCAGGAAGACCTTTCTCTCTGTCTCTCTCTTTCTCTCACTGTCCACTCTGCCTGTCAAAAAAAAAAAAAAAAAAAAAAAGTGGCAGCAGTGTACGGCGGCGTCACTGCGTGCAGGCTGCGCGTCCAAGACCACGGCGCTGGCAGGGACCTGCTCTCTCCAAACGCTCCAGGGGAGAATCCTTCCTGGGGCTTCCTGCAGTCCTGGGCTCGTGGCCGCCTCACTTCTCTCTCCTCCTCCTCTGTCTCCACTCGCCCTCCATCTTTCTCTTGTCTGGGGTCTGGGGTCTGCCAGCGAATGCAGGCTGATCTCATTACCACGTTCACCACATCTGCTAAGACCCTCCTGCCAGGGAGCTGTAGCGTGGCGGGTCGAGCCACCGCCTGCGATGCCGGCATCCCCTATGGGCGCCGGTGCCTGTCCTGTCTGCCCCACCTCCCACCCAGTTCCCTGCTAATGGCCTGGGGAAGCAGCCGGAAGATGGCCCGAGTGCTTGGGCCCCTGCACCCGCATGGGAGACCATGATGGAGAGCCTGGCTCCTGGCTGTGGCCTGGTCCAGTCCTGGCTACTACAGCCATCTGGCTAGATCTCCTTACATCTCTCTCTGCGACTCTGCCTTTCAAATAAATATTTATTTATTTAAATTAATTTATTTGAAAGTTAGAGTTACACAGAGAGAGAGGGAGAGGCAGAGAGAGAGAGAGAGAGAGAGAGAGAGGCGGAGACAGAGAGAGAGGTCTTCCATCTGCTGGTTCACTCCCCAGATGGCTGCAACAGCCAGAGCTGTGCCGATCTGAAGCCAGGAGCCAGGAGCTTCTTCCAGGTCTCCCACGCAGGTGCAGGGGCCCAAGGACTTGGACCATCTTCTACTGCTTTCCCAGGCCATAGCAGAGAGCTGGATCAGAAGAGGAGTAGCCAGGACTGGAACTGGCGCCCATATGGGATGCTGGCACTGCAGGTGGCGGTTTTACCAGCTGCACCACAGCACTGGCCCCAATAAATAAAAAAAAAAAAAAAAAAAGAGCAATGGAGCTAAAAGATTTCATGTAGCATTTCCATACTACACAGTTTCCATGAACTTTTTGAAGAACAACATATTTCATATTTCATTTGGTGGATTTGTTTGTGTTTAACTTTTTAATTCCACTTCCCCGGAACTTTTTGAAGTCCCCTGGAATGTGTCTGCCGTGTTTTCACCACGTCTCTCGGCTTGGTGTTCCCCGTCTCACCGCGTCCTAGCTGGATAGCTCTGGGCAGGCAAGTCACTTACGCCCTTGGAGACTCGGTTTGCTCACCTGTGAAATGGGTCGGCAACAGCCTCCACCGAACTGGGCAGAGACCGTTCTTGGGACGGAAGGGAGTTTGTGGACGATCCCTGCTCTGCGCTCAGTGTCTGGTTCCTCTCTGGTCTCCGGGGCTCCCCAGTCTGCACAGGTGAGAGTCCTGCTGACCTCAAAGCCTCATGGGGTTCTTAAAGGGGCTGTCTCTCTCTTGTTCTCCCCATCCGTGGTTTTAGAATAAATCCACCAGCAGGCACTAGGGCCAGGGGTCAAGGCCTGGGTCAGGACGCCTGCACCCCTAATCTGGGTGCGTTGGTTCCGGCTGATGCAGGCCCAGCTACCGCCCGCCGTGGGCATTTGGAGGAGTGAATCAGAGATGAGGACTCTAATAAATACATAATGTAGAAATCAGCCTGCACACTCTTTGATGCCCCTCCCTGGGAGTGTGGGCCAGGTTCAGTGACTCAGGCCTGCAGCCCTGGCCAGCAAGGTAGCCGAGGGCCACCCCCAAACCGCCCACCCGACCCCGGATGCAGGGTGGCAACACCCCGTCCCTCCTGGGTGCTCTGTCTCCGTCTCTTCCCCGCTGGGGGTCTCTGGACCTCCGTTTCCAGCCTGCCCCTCCCAATGCCGCCGGCCCCTCCGTGCTATGCTTCTGGGCCTCGCTCCCTCTCTCTGCCTCTCTCCATCTCTCTCCCTCTCTGCCTCTCTCTCTCTCTCTCTCTCTCTGCATGGGAGGCTCTATTTATAGCTGCTGTGCTCTGTGCGGGTCTCTGGTCTCCCGGCCTGCAGCTCCCGGCGCGCCTCTCCCGGTCTCCCCCACCTCCGACGCGCCTCTGCCCCCGCCGCGGCGCGGTGGTCTCGGGCTCCCGGCTCCGCGTCCCCGCCCCTCGCTCCCTCGCCCGGTCTCTGCCTCCCTCTCCCGGTCAGAGGCCCTCACCGCACCCCGCGCTCCCAGGGGATCCCCTGGCCGCGTTAAGGCCGCCTCTGGCGGAGGACCGAGCTGCGCCGCGCGCGGGGGGCTGCGGGCGCCGGGGCGGGTCCCTCCTGGGCCGCCGCGGGCGGGGGGAACCCCGGACCCTCCGAGGGCGGCGGCCCGAGCGCCCCGACTTCCGAATACTCTTCCCAGCTCCACCTTAAGCGCCCCCTCCCGCTTTCTGCAGAGGACGGGAGCGGCCAGCTCGCGGCCCCAGGTGTCCCGGCCACCCCGCCCCCGCGGCTCCCCGGCCTGCCCCTGGCGCGCCCCCCACCTGCCTGAGAACTGTCGGCTACTGAGCGATCTGCACCCCCCGCCCCGACCACAAAAAAATAAATAAATAAAAAATAACACCAAGCTTCTGGCGGAGAGAAGAGAGGAGGGGGAGGCGGGAGGCAGGGCCGGGAGAGGAGAGCCGAGGAGCGGCGGGAGGCGGCGAGGGAGCGCGGGAGAGAGCGGGGAGAGGGAGGCAGGATGGAGGCGCGGAGTTAGGGGGCTCGGGAGAGCCGGATGAAAGAGGAGCCGCGCCGGGGGTGTGCGCTAGCAGCCGAGAGGGGACCCCCGGGGCGGGCAGAAGGCGGGGAGAGGGTGCGGGAAGCTGCAGGGCTGGGGGCAGAGGAGAGGCAGGAGGCGAGGCAGAGGAAGGGAGCGGGGACGGAGTGGCTGGGGGTGGGGGTGGGGGTCTCGATCCCCAGCTGCCCTCGGGGCTCCCTGCGGGCCAGACGGGAAGGCTGGAAGTCCTGGAGGTGCAGGGTCCCAGAGAAAGGGGAGGGAGGAGCTGAGGGGGCCAGGGTGCCGGGAAGGGGTCGCGGCCGGGCCTTGTGGGGATGGGGGCGGCGGCTCGTCTGAGCGCCCCGCGCGCGCTGGTACTCTGGGCCGCGCTGGGGGCGGCAGGTAAGACCTGGGGGTCCGAGCCCCTGGGGGAGGGGCGGGGGCGCCCAGAAGAGGGGTTCAGGTCGCTCTCTTCCCAGCTCGCATCGGACCCGCACCTGACCCGGACGACTGGTGGAGCTACAAGGATAATCTCCAGGGAAACTTCGTGCCAGGTGCAGCCGGCGGGGACCCAGCAGTCCGCCCCCTCCCAGACTCAGGAGTCCGGGTCCCCAGCCCCCTCTTCCCGCCCCCAGGACCGGGAGCCCCAGCCCCCTCCTCCCTCCCTCAGGAGTCCAGCCAGCCTCTGAACCCCAGCGGCTCACCATGGGACATTATACATGCGCATTTCAAGTAGTGAGTGGGAGTGAGTGGAAGGAAAGAAAAGTGTGGAGGTGGACAGTCTGTGTGTCTGCGGCGACAGGCAGGTCCTGGCTCCTGCTGGGACCCGCCCCCTCCAGCCCTCTGTCTTCTAACTTCTCTCCCCGGTACCTTCATTACCCAGCTGTGGGATGAGGCGCAAAGAACTACAACTCCCATGGGGCTCTGGGGCGGCACACAGTGGATGGGCAGGCCTGCCGTGCTGGTGCCTTCTGGGAGCTGTAGTGCCTTCCATTATCACATAAGCCGGGTTGGATCAAAGAGATGTTGGGGGTGAGGGGCGAGTCTTAGGACTATTGCAAGAGTCTTCCAGGGCCCAGGGTGCTGGATCCCAGCCCCTCCCCCACCTCAGGCCCAGCCCCTCCTCCCCTGGGACTGGAAAGTCCAAGCCGCAGCCCCCTCAGCAGACCCCCCCCTGCGTGGGGCTCCACCTGCCATGTCCCTTCCTTCCCTTCTCTGACCCCAGGACCTCCCTTCTGGGGCCTGGTGAACGCGGCCTGGAGTCTGTGCGCCGTGGGGAAGCGGCAGAGCCCCGTGGATGTGGAGCTGAAGAGGGTCCTTTACGACCCCTTCCTGCCCCCGCTGAGGCTCAGCACCGGGGGAGAGAAGGTAAGGGCGGGGCTCCCGCGGCCCGCTGGGTGTGGGTTTGCAGGGGAGGGGTCTGGGGGTGTGGCGCTAGGGGAAGGAGAGGTGCCCACTGCCGGAGAGAAGCTCCCTGGCCGCCCCATCTCTGTAGAGGCAATGGAACATAGAACGGTTTCCGTGCCAGGCAGCTTTAAATTCGGGCTAAACCCTTTAATCGTCCTTGGAATGGGGGCTGTGACTTCACCCTTATTTTATGATGCAGAGACGGAGGCACAGAGAGGTTGAGTTCCTTGCCCGCGCCCACCCAGCTAGAGTGCCAGCACTGGGATTCAAACCAGGGAGCGTGGTCCCAGTGTTCACGCAGCCGGCATGGCCCTGCACCGAGCCGCCCAGCCACTCCCACCCCGCACCCCCTCTCCCCCACTTGCAGTGCATGCGGGCACCATGGCCTCCCCTAGCCTGCTCCTTGCTAGCCTGCCTCCCTGCCTCTGGTGATTCACTCTGCACCTCACGGCAGACTTGTTCCGGACACACCCCGGATCCTGCCATCCGGGTAGGTGATGGCAAACACTGACACAGTTCCTACAGAGCCTCGGCATCCTGCACACTGCTTATTTATATAAAAATGCAGCTTTCTCCCTCATTGTCCACAACGCCCTGCACCACGTGGCCACTCTCTCCTTTGTACACTGGACGCGCCCCCCCCCCCAACGGGTCACCTCAGGCCTTTGCACTCGCCATTCCCTTGTCCTGCAATGCCCGCCCCCGCCTACACTCCAGGTCTCCATTCGAATGTCACCTCCACAGGCAACACTTTCCTGACCCCCTTCAACCACAAGCTGGGGTCCCCTCCCAGCCTGAGCGCAGGGTGTGATGAATCAAGCAGTTACTTGCGAGGTGCACAAGGACGGTCCCCCTCGCTCACGCACGCTCACGCGCACCCACGGCTCTGTGCCTAGCCTCCGCTCCGGTCTTACCTGTCAATCATCAGGACGGGTACTAAGCGGCTGCCCCGGGGCAGCACAGGGCCTGCAGGTTGACTGAGTGGCTGTTGGACTTTGAGAAACCTCGGGGACACGGGCCCCCCTGAGCGCGTGCGCCTCTCCCACAGCTCCGGGGAACCCTGTACAACACCGGCCGCCACGTCTCCTTCCTGCCCGCGCCCCGGCCCGTGGTCAACGTGTCCGGGGGCCCCCTGCTCTACAGCCACCGGCTCAGTGAACTGCGCCTGCTGTTTGGAGCACGCGACGGAGCTGGCTCCGAGCACCAGATCAACCACGAGGGCTTCTCTGCCGAGGTGGGGCCCCTGCCGCCCCGCCCCCGGAGCGCTCACCCTACCCCAGCCTGGGGGGCCCCAGAGGTGGAGCCAGTTCTCTGCTCCCCTTCCGCCGGGGGACCCCATGCCCTGTGCGCCCCTCCTCCGCAGGTGCAGCTCATCCACTTCAACCAGGAGCTCTACGGCAACCTCAGCGCCGCCGCCCGCGGCCCCAACGGGGTGGCCATTCTCAGCCTCTTTGTCAACGTGCGCAGAGGCCGGGCTGCGGGGTGGCGGGGGGAGGGAGGGCCTGGGGCGCGGTTAACCCGGGGTGCCCCCACGCAGGTGGCAGGTAGCTCCAACCCGTTCCTCAGTCGCCTCCTTAACCGGGACACCATCACCCGCATCTCCTACAAGAGTAAGTCCCTGGCGTGCTGCGCGCGGGGAGGGAGCACCCGCGGGGCAGCGGGGGCCAGAGGGGCGCCCCTCTTCCCTGTGGCCTGTTCTTCGCGCAGACGACGCCTACTTCCTTCAAGACCTGAGCCTGGAGCTGCTGTTCCCCGAGTCCTTCGGCTTCATCACCTACCAGGGCTCCCTCAGCACCCCGCCCTGCTCCGAGACGGTCACCTGGATCCTCATTGACCGGGCCCTCAACATCACCTCCCTGCAGGTGAGGCAGGGGTGTCCGCTGGCCGCCCGCCCCCTCTCCAGCCGCCGGGAGCTCCGAGGGTCCCGCGCGCCCTGGGGGTGGGGCTTGGCCAGGCCCCGCCCACCCGCTCGCATTCACCCCCGTCCTGCGCCCCGCTTTCCCGCAGATGCACTCCCTGAGACTCCTGAGCCAGAACCCGCCGTCCCAGATCTTCCAGAGCCTCAGCGGCAACGGCCGGCCCCTGCAGCCCCTGGCCCACAGGGCCCTGAGGGGCAACAGGGACCCACGGCACCCCGAGAGGCGCTGCCGAGGCCCCAACTACCGCTTGCATGGTAGGGCCCAGTCCGCACCCCTCCACGTCTCGCGCTGACCCTGAGTGCTCAGCCTCTTGCCCCCTGCGTGTCCACGTGGTGCAGCCCGCCACGGGCCACGGTGCCCCCTTTCCTCTTTGCTGCTTGGCAAGGCAGCGTCCTGGCTTCCCCGCGGGGGTCCCGCTTCTGCCTTTTCCAAAACGGGACAGTCCGGATCCCCTCCCGGTTTCCATGTGGTACGTCCCACAGCGCCCCCTTGCTGGCAGCCGACATGGTACGATCCCTCCCCCTCCCCGCCGCCTCTCGGTGGTTCAGCCCAGCGAGCTGGCGGGCCCCCCCGGCTTTTCCACATGGTACGGCCCAGCCCCGCCCTCGCGCCCCACCCCCGCCGGGTGCAGCCCTGGCCACTCCCCGTAGCTGCTCGGCTTGGCACTTTCCGGCTCCCCCCGCCGCAGTCTCCCTGTGGTAGAGCCCGGCGCGGCCCCGCCCACGCCCTCTGCCCCGCGCCCCTGAACTTCCGCCGTCTGTCTCCACAGTGGATGGCGCTCCGCTAGGTCGCTGAGGCTCCGCGTCCAGGATTGCGCCTGCCCGTCCCGAGCCTCCCCACGAGGGGAGGGAGGTCACCCCCAAAACAAAGCTATTAAAGAGACAGAACACTTCCTGCTTCTCGGTGGTCTGAGTCTAGGCGCGGTGGGCGGAAAACTTGGGTAGCAGATAACAGCTGCCGCCTCCCAGAAGCCAGTCTCTCCCTTCCGGAGCTTCCGTCCCCCCAAAAGCGACCCATCTGGGCACGCAGGCCTCCCCCGCCCCCCCCAAAGAAAAAGACCCATCTGGGCACGCGGCTCCTTTAAGAGGCGCCTCCCCGCCCCACCCCCGCCGTCGGCAGCACGTGCCGGGCCATGTGCTTCCCCCTCCCTCCCGCCTCATTGGCCAGAACTGGGTCACGGTCCCGCCCCCTGAGCCGCCTCCCATTGGGCAAATGTAGGTCAGTGTCCCGCCTCCCTCCGAGCGGCGAGGCCGCGGCACGCGCTCAGCCCCTCACGCGCCCTCCCGGGCCGCGGCAGATCCGAGGGCTCCCATTGGCTGCGGGTCTCCAGGGGTCGGGACGCGATTGGCCCGTGCCGGCGGCCGGAGGGAGGCACGCGGCCGGGGAGGATGGCCAGGGCGGCCGGCGGGGGCCGAGAGGAGGGGCGCGCGCTGTGGCGTCGGTGTTTTGGTTTTTTTTTTTTTTTTTCCGCGAAAGAAGTTTGCTGTGGCCCCGCCTCGAGGCGGCCCCCTCCCCCGCCGCGCGGCGCACACCTCCGGGGCGCAGAGCGCCTTGCATTGCGAGAGCGGCAGACTTCGCGGGAGCCGGGCTCGCCCACCCTGCAGAGGCAGCGCCGCGGGCACCCGAGGAGCCGTCGCGTCGCCCGGGCTGCCGGGTGCTCCTGCCCCGAGCACCGCCAGGCCCCGTGCTGGATACTGGAGGCTTGCAAGCTGCCCTCGCCCGCCCCCGGGCCGGACACTCGCCCGAGCCGCGGCAAGGACCGTGCTGGTGACTGGCAGGCCCGCCCGCGCCCGCCTCCGCCCCGGGAGCCCATGAGCCTGGGGGCAGGTGCCGGGCGATGGCGCGGCCTCTGAGCGACAGGACCCCGGCCCCGCTGCTGCTGGGAGGCCCGCCCGGGGCCGCCCCTGGCGGGGGATCGCTGCTCGGGCTCCGCAGCCTTCTGCAGGGGACCAGCAAGCCCAAAGAGCCGGCCAGCTGTGAGTGAGCCCCCACCCCCGCCTCCTCCGATCCGGACAGCCCACGCCCTGGGGCCGCAGGTGCCGCCCCGAGTGCAGGGACTGCGTCTCTCCGCACCTGTGTCTGTTCATTCTTGAGCTTTTAGATCCCTAGAGCCCCTTAGAGCCCAGGACCCCCCGCCCCAAATGCCGGCTCTGAAGCCCGTCCGTGAGGACCTCCCTCTCCCGCCCGCCCCAAGACTCAGGAGTCCAGCGCCCCAGGCCCCTGGGGCCCCTTTGGCTCGGGAGCCCGGACCCCCGGGTCCAGGGAGAAGGGAGGGGGTGTGTCGGATGCTCACACGGAGGTGACACGGGCGTGGGCGGAGCCTCGCGGGCTCACATGGAGTCTGGGGATGAGGAGTGTGCCCCACGAGTAAAGCCCCCTCTGGAGGGCGGGGGAGCCGCGCGGCTGTCAGTCTCCCGGCGCACCTGTCCCGGCGCCGACCCCCACTCGCCCTGAGCCTCCGCCCCTGGCTGCCCAGGGCGGCTGTGGTCCGCGTCCCTGCCCCGCCCCCGCCTCGGTGTCCCCCGGGGTCTGCCTGTGCCGCCCCCGTGTCCCCCGGGGGTCTCCGTGAGCCGAGCCGCTTCTCCCATCTCGAGCCCCACATTCCCCCCTACCCCGCAGGTCTGCTGAAGGAGAAGGAGCGCAAGGCGGCTCCGCCCGCAGCCGCCGCCCCCGGGCCGGGCCTGGAGACGGCGGGCCCGGCGGATGCGGCGCCGGGCGGCGGGTCCCCGCGGGGGCGCCCCGGGGCCGGGCCGGGCCCGAGTCTGCTGGCGCCGCTGCTGTGGGAGCGCACGCTGCCGTTCGGCGACGTGGAGTACGTGGACCTGGACGCCTTCCTGCTGGAGCACGGGCTCCCGCCCAGCCCGCCGCCCCCCGGGGGCCCGTCGCCCGCGCGCACGCCCGCGCCCTCCCCGGGGCCCGGCTCCTGCGGCTCGGCTTCCCCGCGCTCCTCGCCGCGACACACCCCGGCCCGGGCCGGCCTAGGGGCCGCCGGCGGCCACCGCGGAGGTGCGACCGAGGGGGCTGGGCTGGCCGGGGGGCGGGTGCGGGCAGCGCTTCCCGTTGCGTCCGCGGGACCGGTGCCCCCAGCCCAGCGCTGTCGCAGCGAGGGGTGGGAATCCCTGTCCCCTAACGGATTAGGGGTTGAGGCTCTGGGCCCTGTGAGGGGACGAGGGCCTTGGGACCCCCAGTTCCAGGAAGCCTGCCCAGTCCAGAGGCTGGGACGTGGGGGGCCGGAGGTGCGGGGTGCGCCAGGCCAGGCGCCCAGAACTCGGACGGGCCGGGCCCGGGACAGGACCGCGACCGCTGAGGCTGAGCGAGGGGAGAAGGCGCGGCCGGGCACGGACTTGCGAGCCTGGAGCCCCGCGTCCTGGTTCCCCAGCAGCCCTGAGGCCGCCCGGGGTGGGGGACAAGGGCCGGGATCTGCATGCTGGACCTCCCGGCGGGGCGAGGGCCTGGCCGCCCGAGTGCCCGGGAGAGGAGGCGGCGCCTGGGTCCCAGTGGCCACGGGGCGGGTTCTTCCTCGACAGCAGAGCCGGGACTAGAGCCTTGCGGGGTGGAAGATGGCGCCGAGAGCCCCCAAGGCGGAAGGGCAGCGGCGCTTCCCTGCGGGCGCGCCGGCCTCCCTCGGGGCGCACCTGCCCCAAGCCCCGGGGCCCGCCCCCTCCCCGCCGCACACTCCCGCGCCACGTGAGCGCCGCCCGGCTCGCGGCGCCGTGCGCACGCGCGAGGGGGCGGGGCCGGGAGCGTGCGGGCGCCGCGGCGGGGGGGCGGGAGCAGGCGGCGGCACGTGACTCGGCCCTGAACCCGTGTCCTCAGCCGGCCCCGGCGGGCTCGCGCTTAAAGGCGCAGGCGCCCCTTTTCAAACCTGGCACCTGGGTGCCGCCTCCGCTGAAGAAAGCGGCCACCTAAGATCGTCTGGATGCGGGCGATTCCTTTTTTTTTTCTGAGAAGCTTCGTGCCTAAGCTTTTGGGGTTCACGCTGAACCGTGGGCAACACCACTGAATCTCAAATTCTGGGGTTCTAGAAGCATGACCGGGTCTCTTTCCCTGCCCGTGGAAGTGGAGTTGGCTCCATGAGGGGTAGACTCCTCGGTGGCATAAGAAGCCATGCAGCGGTGGGCCTGACGCTGCATGCAGCGGGGGTGTCCGCTGGGGACCCCTCCCCAGGGTAAAGACGCAGTGGGGTGACCTCTCTCCCCAAGGCCTGACTGCTCGGGACACGCCCAGCCCCGTGGACCCAGACACGGTGGAGGTGCTGATGACCTTTGAACCCGACCCAGCTGATCTTGCCCTGTCAAGCATTCCAGGCCACGAGACCTTCGACCCTCGGAGACATCGCTTCTCGGAGGAGGAGCTTAAGCCGCAGCCAATCATGAAGAAGGCCAGGAAAATCCAGGTGCCCGAGGAGCAGAAGGTGAGCCGCCCGCAAGGCCCCCGGGGTCGTCCCCGCCTGTGGCCGCGGGGCACAGGGAGGCAGCGTGCTGGGGCCGCGCTGAGCTTCCACTGTCACTTGGAACCCGGACTCGGTGTGCGGGCTTCCTGCTCTCCGTTGCTAAGGACCGGCTTCCTTAGCAACGGGATGTCAGCCGTCGCCTTAGCAGCCCCCAGGCCGGCCGAGGCGGGGCCCTTGACCTGGGGTTAGAGCAGCGCGGTGGTTAGAGACTGGATTCTCCCCCAGGAAGCAGGCTTTAATTAAATGGGAGGGAGCATCTTCCCGAGCTGGGTGGGCCTTGTCACCAAGGCAAGGTCCTCCTTAGCAACCGAATCCAGGGTTGGAGAACTGGGCACCACACTCCGCGGGAGGTCTTGGGTTCGGCCACCTTGTTAGGGCTCAGGCGTTCCGTCGCCCAGGTCAGAGACTGGCCAGCATCCTTAGGTCCACTTTGGCTTCCTCTGGACCCAACCCGCGGCCCTAAGACCCCAGGCCCTGTTGCTAGGAAACAAGCGTCCCTAGCTACCTGCAGCCCCTGGGAGGCTGGGCACTTGGGGCTGGGGTCTGTCTCTCGGCTCAGCTGTTGCTAGGGGCGTGCTCTCCGTAGCAACGAGAGCCCCAGGCGGACCCCGCCTCCCCCAGGCTCTGCTGCAGGGCGGAGAGCGGCCCCTGGATCTCAGCGCCTCCCACTCCTCCGCCCCCAGGACGAGAAGTACTGGAGCCGGCGGTACAAAAACAACGAGGCGGCAAAGCGGTCCCGCGACGCCCGGCGGCTCAAGGAGAACCAGATATCGGTGCGGGCGGCCTTCCTGGAGAAGGAGAACGCTCTGCTGCGGCAGGAGGTGGTGGCCGTGCGCCAGGAGCTGTCCCACTACCGCGCCGTGCTGTCCCGCTACCAGGCGCAGCACGGGGCGCTGTGAGGCCGCGCGGAGCTCGCTCGCCCCCTCTCCCCTCCCGCCCTGTGGCCCACGGGCTGGCCGGCTGGGTGCTCCAGGGACGTGATGATGCAGATAAATACATTTATATTTTTAAGAAAAAGCGAGCCTCCCCGCCCCTCCTCGTGGGGGCGGGGAGAGTCCTCCGTGTGTGCCCCCGGCACTTTGGGGACCCCATCCTCCCACGCCCCCGTGGACACGGTCCTGAATAAATGTTGAGAACCCCGGAGCCAGCTGTCGTGGGGAGAAGGCAGCTACCTGGCCCCGGCTCGGGGCCCGCGGAGCCGCTGGACGAGCGAGGGGCCGAGGTCCGCGCGGAACGAAGCGGCTCCTTTATTGCATAGACCTTTTCAATTGCTTTTTAGACTGGGGACGAGGGGGACGCAGACGACACACAACAGGGGAATGGGCTTCCCCGCCCGCGCCCTCGGGGGCGGGAATATTAGTGCAAATCCGAGCGCTGGCCCGGGGGACCCGCCCCTCCCGAGCTGACTGGCCAGTTCAGTGGAGGCACCGGAGTGGATAGGGCGAGACCCGGGCCCACACCCGCCAGTTATCTAAGGCCTCCCCAGTGCGTACATTCCAGGTTCCGTCATTGGGTGACGCGTAAGGCAGGCTCCGCCCTCAGACGCCAGGGCCGTCCCGAGCCCTATGCGGTCTGGACCGAGGCCACGCCCGGTGGCCGGAGCTCGGACGTCAGGCACTACCCTCGGGACGCGCGTGGAGTCCAGGCCTCCCTTCAGCATCGCATCTGGTTCCCTGGGGGGGCAGGCGCAATCCTGAGTCGGGACTAAGGCCCTTGCGGGCCTCCGCCCTCTTAGCAGCCAGACCACGCCCCCTGGCTCAGGCTCCACCTCCTTGGAATGTAGGCCCCGCCCCCGGCGGGTTCCAGGCTTGGTTAGGTTCAGGGGCCCTGCCTGCAGCTGCCAGGAGGCCCGGTGAGCAGCGTGCCCAGGCCCGGGTGGATCTGTGCCTGCAGTGGCCCGTACTCCACCTGCTCCCCGTCCACCGTCAGCACGCCGCGAGGCGTGAGGGGCTCAAGGCGGAAGGCACGGGCAGTGGCGTAGCCCAGCTGCGGACAGCCCAGGCTGAAGTGGCTGCCATGCTCCATGGCCAGGAAAAGGCGCAGCAGCATGGCCCTCGAGATGCCGCTACGCACCCATATCAGGTGCACCAGGCCGTCGTCAAAGCGCGCGTGGGGCGCCGCCACGAGGTCGGCACCCAGGTGGCTGGGCGAGATGGCCAACATGAGAACAAAGTCTCCCTCCAGCGTCACCCAGTCTGGGGGCAGCGGGCTGCCGAGAGGCGGCAGCAGATGGTCCGGCGGGCCCCACTTGCATTCAGCTTCGGGGGCAACAGGAGTAGGGGGTGGGGGCGGGGGCCCAGGGGATGCTGGCACTTCTGGGGGCCCCTCAGTGATGGGAGAGAGCAGAGCTGCCTTGGGGGAGCCGGGGGGTGAGGGCAACAGTGGGTCTGGGGACAACGGGGCATCCCCAGCCCCACCCCAGTCCCCAGCCAGCTCGGGGCCCCCGCCGTTGAGAGAGAGGATAGGCAGGGGCTCCGGCGAGCCCGGGGAGGCCAGGGCCGGCTGGGGCAGGGGCAGGGGCAGGTCAGACACTGAGCGGTGCAGGGGTGAGTGGGCCACGGGAGGGGCTGGGTCTGGGGCCAGGGTCAGCTCCGACTTAGCCCGGGGCAGCCCAGAGGCAGAGGTGGGGGAGGCGGGCTCGGCGCAGGCGGGGAGGTAGGAGAGGCGTCCGCGGTAGGTGTGCAGCGTGGCGAGGCCCAGCACTGTGCCCAGTGTGAAGCGGGCACTGCCCAGGGCCCTGAAGCGCTCGCTGTGGATGTCCACGTCGGACACGAAGCCCCAGGCCACCGACAGGAAGGAGAAGCAGCGGGACCCTGAGGCCAGTGTCACCGAGAGCAGGTCCAGGGGGTGGCCGCCACCCCGGCAGAGCAGCAGCGTGCAGTTGAGCAGCAGGTCGAGGCCCAGGCACGGTGCGAACCTTCACAGCGGGGGGCACGGCACCCAGTGGGTGGGAGAGAGCACACGGGGTCAGACGTGAGAGGGTGCAGACGGGACAGACACACACACACACAGGGTTGGGTGTGAGGACGGGCAGACAGGGAGACACACACACACGGGGTCGGACATGAGACAGTGGGCAGACGGGAGACACGCACACAGGGGGTCGGGTGTGAGAGGGTGTGCAGACAGGGAGACACACACACACACACAGGGTCGGACGTGAGAGGGTGTGTAGACCAGGGAGACACACACACACATACATGGGGTCGGGTGTGAGAGAGTGTGCAGACCAGGGAGACACGCACACACAGGGGGTCGGACGTGAGAGAGGGGACAGAAAGGGAGACACGCACACACAGGGGGTCGGATGTGAGAGGGTGTGCAGACCAGGGAGACACGCACACACAGGGGGTCGGACGTGAGAGGGTGTGCAGACCAGGGAGACACGCACACACAGGGGGTCGGACGTGAGAGGGTGTGTAGACCAGGGAGACACGCACACACAGGGGGTCGGATGTGAGAGGGTGTGCAGACCGGGGAGACATGCACACACACACAGGGTCGGATGTGAGAGGACGGGCAGACAGAGAGACACGCACACACACGGGGTCAGACGTGAGTGTGCAGAACAGGGAGACACGCACACACAGGGGGTCGGACGTGAGAGGGTGTGCAGACCAGGGAGACACGCACACACAGGGGGTCGGACGTGAGAGGGTGTGCAGACCAGGGAGACACGCACACACATGGGGTCAGATGTGAGAGGGGACAGACGGGGAGACGCGCACACACATGGGGTTGGATGTGAGAGAGCATGCAGATTGGGGAAGACACACACACTCACGGGGTCAGATGTGAGACAGGGCAGAGCTGGGGGAGATACACACACACACACACACACACAGGGCCAGACGTGAGAGGGCGGGCAGATGGGGGAGACACACACACACACACACACGGGGTCGGACGTGAGAGAGCGTGCAGATGGGGGAGACACACACACACGGGGTCGGACATGAGACAGTGGGCAGACAGGGGAGACACGCACACACACACACGGGGTCGGACGTGAGAGAGGGGACAGACTGGGGGAGACACACACACACACACACACACACGGGGCCAGACGTGAGAGAGGGGACAGACTGGGGGAGACACACACACACACACACACACACACACGGGGCCAGACGTGAGAGGGCGGGCAGACTGGGGGACACACACACACACACACACGGGGTCAGACGTGAGAGCGTGCAGATGGGGGAGACACACACAAACACACACATGGGGTCGGACGTGAGACAGTGGGCAGACAGGGGAGACATGCACACACACACACACACACGGGGTCGGACATGAGAGAGGGGACAGACTGGGGGAGACACACACACACACACACACACGGGGCCAGACGTGAGAGAGCGTGCAGATGGGGGAGACACACACACACACACACACGGGGCCAGACGTGAGAGAGCGTGCAGATGGGGGAGACACACACACACACACACGGGGTCAGACGTGAGAGAGCGTGCAGATGGGGGAGACACACACACACACACACACGGGGTCAGACGTGAGAGAGGGGACAGACTGGGGGAGACACACACACACACACACACACACACACGGGGCCAGACGTGAGAGGGCGGGCAGACTGGGGGACACACACACACACACACACGGGGTCAGACGTGAGAGGGCGGGCAGACTGGGGGACACACACACACACACACGGGGCCAGACGTGAGAGAGCGTGCAGAGACACGCACACAGACACACGGGGTCAGACGTGAGAGAGCGTGCAGAGACACGCACACAGACACACGGGGTCAGACGTGAGAGAGTGTGCAGAGACACACACACACACACACACACACACACACGGGGTCAGACGTGAGACAGGGCAGACCGGGGGGGACACGCACACACAGACACACTTGGCACTGGTTCCTCCGGGGAACCAGTTGCTCTCACAGTGCCTCTGCCCCAGCCCAGCTGACAGAGGGTCGGGCTGAGGGGGGACGGCAGGGGCCCCGACCTACCCCCCACGCTGGTTCACTGCTCCCGCCAGCGCGTTGCCCGACCCGCAGGGGAGGATGCCTACGGGCACCTTCACGGCCTCCTGCCAGTCAGGGCGGTCCAGGAGCCCGTTCAGCACCTGCAGGGGGACAGAGCGGATGCCCGGGTCTGCGCGCCAGCCCCCACCGGCCCCCGCGGCGCAGAGGGTTCTCGCTCTACCTCATACAGGAGCCCGTCTCCAGAGACCGTCACGATGCCGTCCCAGCCGCCCAGGCTCAGCCCCTGCACCAGCTCCCGGGCGTGGTTCTGCCGTTCTGGAGTGGGAACCAGGAGGTGGGGCAGGTGGGCAGGCCCTCCCCTGGCCCCGCCCCACCCCCCGCCCACGCGGACCCCAGCGTACCTGTCTGTATGAGGTTGAAGGACAGCCCAGCTTCGGAGATCATGGGAAGCACATGGTTCTTACACCACTGCCAGGCCAGGCCCCGCCCCCCAAACGGATTGACCAACAGGAGCAGCCGGGCTGGCCGAGGCAGCAGGTCAGGGGTGATCTCTGCAGAGAGAGGGCCCTGGCCTTGGAGACAGCCCCTTCCAGCGCACCCCGAGGGCAGGGGCGGGGGCGGCACCGGAGCCCGCACCTGGCCCACCCCCATCTCCCGGACCAGCGCCCTTTGGACCCACGTCGGGGAGGGCCCAGGAGCCGGGGTTCCCACTCTGCCCGGGGCTCAGGCAGCCGCCCCAGAGGGACGCGGGCCCTCAAAGCTTTTCCTTCCTGCGCCATAGGAGACCCTGCCCCAGAGCCCACCGTGACAGCGCACGGGCCGGCCTACAGCCACCTCTGTCGGCATGTCACTGGGCGGTGACGGGTCAGCTCGCGGTCGGCTGCCCGCCAGCCGCCAGCCGGGCAGGCTGACTCATCTGTGGTGAGACCAGGGAGGGGGAGGGGATACAGCTCATTTCCCTTTGCCCTCGCCTCTGCCCCCTGCCCCTCTGCCGTCCATCCCAGGCTGTCACACACACACACACACACACACACACACAGGAGGTGATGGCATGCCCAGAGGCCGAGCCACCAGCCCCGGACGAGGCCCTAGCGCCTCACCCCCGTCCCCAGGCAGAGGCAGTCCTCGGAGCAGGCAGGTGAGGGCAGAGGCCCAACGCTGGGCCTCGGCACGGTTCTCCTCATAGGTGGCCGCCCCGTCCACCCGGAAGGTGCGGGTGGCTCTGCGCCGGCCCCCTCGCCGGCCCTGGGGGTAGGTGTAGATGCACACGTAGGCCCCGGGGTCCGAGGGGCTGCAGCTCCGCAGGGTGCAGCAGCCTGAGACCTCAGCCAGCGGGACCAGGCCGCCCCGGGGCCGGGCCTCGGGCTTGGGGCGCAGCCGCTGTATGTGCAGGGCCTGTGATGTGAGAGTGAGGGCGAAGCGTGGGCCCCGGGCCGGGTAGGAGCCAAACTCGCCGTGCAGGAGTGGGGTGCTGGCGGCCGGCGGCGGCGGCGGGGCCATGGCCTCAGCCCTGTCCGGGGCGCTCCCAGGCTCGCGGCCCCAGCTCCCGGTCAGCTCTTGGTCCAGCC